AAAAAGAACAGCTAAGTACACTAAGCTCCCGTTATACGCGGGGTCCGGGGAATAGTCGGACTACAATGATCTATTGTACGCAACCTTACTCTGTATTTTTACAAAAGGTTGTTTCCACGGCTCAAACTCATGATCTCCTGGTCACATGCAGCGGCGTAGCCAGAAATTTCGGTAAGGGTGTTCAAACTTTACACAAGTCAATAATTTTTTTTGTGGATGAATGGTGTACCGGAATTTTTAGATCAAACTACGCAACATTTAGCTAAATAATAAAAAAACTTTTAATAGAACTATAATTTTATAAATCAAAATTAAAATAAGGCAGAATAGCTTAATAAACACGTTTACTTGTCCGTTTTGTCATTACGGTCCCGATACCCTACGAAATTTTATCCACACACTTGTAGTTTTTAAAACTCATTATTTTAAATCCCTCCAGCCTCGCTTGTTCTTCAAACACACGATATGGATGATATATCATAGTCCACATCAGATTTTTAATGACACTTCTTTTTTTACTTTAATTTCAAAAATTTAATTTTTTCCTTTTTTTCACTCCACTACTCCCCACCCTTGACCACCTATCTCTATTTTACAGAGCAGAAACAACACCACGATTTTACCGTCTTTACCGTGGGCAGCACTACGGTGGACCACTAAAACCCACCATTTTTCAACTTTTCATCGTCCATCTCCCTTTCAAAGATTTTGTCAAACATCGTTGCTCACTATTTCAAATCCACCATGTAAATCACCTTGAACTTCTTTCACCACTGAAATTTCTTAATATTCCCATATGCCACATAATTTTACATTGTACACCTCACCTAATTTCACAAAGACCTTCGTCAACCACTCTTCACCCTCCAAAACCACTCTTCACCAGCACCTCACCATAAACTGCCCAAAAATTATATTTTCAGCTTCCCTGATCAAATAAAATTCCACCATTAAATATGCTCTCCACCACCTGCGAATCTATTAGTCCTGAAATGATTGTTACCCAAACCAAATTCAACACTAGCAATAGAAACGAATCTAATACATCTCAAAAAATTTAATGGTGGTTGCTCTTCAAAAAAGATTTATTACTTTTTTCTCAAATATTAACTGAAGGTTTGTGAAAATAGGGAGGTCGGGAATAACAGGAGAAAGAGAAAAGAGAAACGGAGGAGGGGAATAACGGAAAAGGAATAAGGGAAGAAAGAGAAAAGAGAAATGAAGGAGGGGTGGGGAAAGAAAGGGAAAGGGGAAGGGTAGAAAAAGAAAAAGAAATGGGATGGGGGTAGGGGTGGGGAAAGAAGAAAGAACAAAGATATTTAATTTTTTTCTTATATTATTTTTTTGTCTTTTACGTTTACTTTTTTTCTTCTTATTTTAATCATTTTTAGTCTAACTTTTTTATGTTTACTCTCGTTATACGCGTGAAATTTACGTATTTTGTCCAACTCAATCATGAAGTTGCCACATATGCTTGGTCAACGGTCAGAGGAGTTTAAAGTAATGTGTTTTGAAAACTAGAGTGTATGGATGAAAACTTCGTAGAGTATCGAGAACGGGATGACAAAGCGGGACAAGTAGAAGTGTTTATTAGATTATTCTGCCTAAAAATAACAAAATTATACATTATAAATTTTACTAATAAAAGTAAGCATACCAAAGACATGATAGAGCCAAAAGGATCTAGAGTTTGTAGAAAGCTTTCGTTGAAGAAATTATTGTAGAGCTTGACTTTTAAATTATAAAATTATTTAAAAAATAACTTTTAGGGTCTGTTTGGAAAGTCACCCGGTAATTAAAATTTGTGTAATTACTAGGGTAGTAATTACGACGGCCTGTTTATTTGCCATAACATAACTACAGTGTAATTACAAACGTACTATTTGGTTGCACAAGTATAATTACACAATCAAATTAAATTTTAAATTACGTAATTATCAAAACTTAAAAGTTAACATAATAAATATATGCTTATAAATATTTTTTTTATAAGTATAAATGATATTAGATTTGGTATTTAATATGCATATTTTTTCTTGAATATACCTTAATTACTAATCATATATTTATAACTGATATTATAAAAATAATTGAAATATATTTTTCAAATTAATAATATTTAGTTTAATTAATTATAAAAACTAAAAATATATGTTTTGTAAGAACGTCATGAAATGCATGTTTGATAAAAAAAATTAATATTTATAAATATAATGTCATAACATTATTCAAGTGTTTGACAAAATCAATCTATCAATTCTAACTAAAAAACGAACAACATGCAATGTGAAATAACAAGTCGATACTACTAAAACAAGTAAATGTGACATAAATATAACACAATTTCAAAATAAAAAAAAAGTAGTTTAATATATGTCAAATTCCAACATAAAAATAAGTTCCAATACAACTTAAGATTAAGAAACATAGTAAGTTTATAACCTCGTTCAGCAACAAAATTCTACCTTAATGACTCATTATATGCCAAGTTTGTTAATGACTCATTATTTCTAATATTTGGAGGTGTAGTTTTAAAAATTAGAATAATAATGCAGTTACGCTAAATGAAGAAAATAAAACAAATAAGAAATAAAATATACGAGCAATTACATGGAATCACAGGAAGTAAAGGTAGAGAAATAATAGATAAATAATGTACAAGGAAATGTATATTTTAAAATTAAAAAAGAACTTATAAGTAAAAATAAAATATGAAGAAATTTAAAATAATGGAAATAAAAAATTATAAAGAAAATAAATTAAAATAAAAACAAAAGGTAAAGAAATTAAAAAGTAACCTTGTAATTACACAATGTAAGTATCACCAATTCTCATTTTCCCCTTGAGTGACTTTCCAAACAGACTCTTAGTTAAAAAAGTTACTTTTAAGATTAGTTATTTATTTACAAATTTTAAGTTTGAAGAGTTATTTTATTAAGATTTTTTTTAGATTGAAAAAGAATCAAATAGACCACGCATGGTGGTCTACGTTTAGTTATGGCAAAATAAAATGGGCAGAACTTTGAACCCATTAATAACACTTCACTTTGAATACCCTAAACCACTAGAATGTCTCACTCAACTGTGTTAAGGGTGTTCAAATTATAATATCTAACCATATAACGTACTAGTATTTAACTTATACACGCAATATAATTTTTCGACGAAGGGTATGCGCTTGATCTCCCTTGACACAGGGTGGCTACACCGCTGGTTACATGACATCAACTTTACAAAAAAATAAAAAGTATATTTCCATGCGGTTGATAATTTTATTGTAGTTTATTATCTTAATCACCATAAAGATGCGATCGTTAGTATACATGATAAGTTTCTTAGAATTACATATATAGGAAGTGCGAAAAAAAAAGAGAAGAAAATGAATTAGGAGCACCGTAATTGAAGAAATGATCAAACCACAAATATTCGGAGAGTAACATACCGAATATATCATCAGAAAAGCCAATTAGCTTACCGTTATCCAATCAAAGTCTAACTCAAGCTTGTGTAGAAGTATCTACATAAAAGATAAGACTGAAATGATACATCCGTCTTCTAAAATTGATTAGAACAAAATAATTGGCCTTTAAAAGAAAATGGGCATTTGGTCTAGTGGTATGATTCTCGCTTTGGGTGCGAGAGGTCCCGAGTTCGATTCTCGGAATGCCCCTTTTTTCACAACACATAATTTTTTTGGCTCAATTTCAACACTAGCATATACATGTTTACCTGTTTTGTAACTTCTACAAGCAAATCCAACCTATTTTACCTTTCTTTGTTGGCCGTGAAACAAGCCTTTGTTTTCATTTTTGTAAGAGAAATATAGTGATGTTTGCATGGTAAATGCAGGTAATACTACAACAAGAGTATTAAAATAAATTTTGTTCTTCAAAAGACAAGATCCAATTATTTGTAAGAGAAATATAGTGATGTTTGCATGGTAAATGCAGGTAATACTACAACAAGAGTATTAAAATAAATTTTGTTCTTCAAAAGACAAGATCCATAATTGATACTACTATATATTACTCTTATGTCTCATTTAGTAAATACTATTAGAGAAGCATTTTAAATAAAAGTTGCGACTCAAAATATACTCCCTTTGTTTCAAGTTAAATGAGTTACTTTTCTTTTTAGTCTGTTCCAAAATAAATTATATATTTTTAAATTTGAAAATAATTCAAATTTAAACTCTTTATTTATCTATTTTATCCTTAACGAGAAACTTTTATAACTACACAAATGTCATGGCCCCCCCAAAACTTTTACCCTTAAGCTTTTAAGACCACAAGTTTTAAAAGTCTTATTCTTTTTCTTAAACTCTGTGCCGAGTCAAACTACCTCATCTAAATTGAAACGGAGGGAGTATATACTTATATTTAAAACCTAAAGACTTGATGTATGATATTATATAAAATTTTGACCCAATTTTTTTCAAGGAACGAATTTCTGTTAAAGAAAAATTGAAGTGGCTTAAACATTCTAATGTAACATTTTCAAAACGCATTTTTATTCCAAAGAACCAAAGCGGGTTAATTGTACAAATTGAAATAAAGGAAAAGGAAAGAAGAAGTAAATTAATAAAAGTACTCATTTACCAAAGGCCATGGTAGTGTGTCGAAGTAGAAACTCGGGAGAATATAAAAACGCAGAAATTTCCCTCCAAATTAAGAATTTTTCCCACTTCTCCCTATTTTCCCTCCTTTAATCTCTAAACCTATACTTACCCCCCCCCCCCCCCA